TGATGGCGTGACGAGTAGAAAATTCACGCTGTTACAAGTTTTCCCATCTCCCAACAAGCTGCAACTGAAAAATGGCAACTGTTCAGGTGCAAAATATTTTTTCATATGCATGGACTATGTATGGTAGAATTTCTAGCTCCTCTCTCAGTCAAATTTTTGTTCCTTCTACCGCCTCCATTAGAATTTTTCCACAATCCCGGAAAGCTTGGACTGAGAGAACTGAACAGTTGTTTGAAAGAGCCAAGGTAATCAAGTGTAAAGGAATTCAAACATAACCAATCACGCGTGTTTCTTTACAGAGACGTCAGTTTATGAAACCACTGAAGTGTACCACACGTCATGTCTTGTATATTTAATTACATACTTTCGGAAACTAATTCAAAACTTCGTGACTTTGGAGTCCCCACAACATAGTTAGGCGCATTTCTGATTTTGCCAAGAATGGGTGTCCGCGACGGAGCCATTGTGTATTTTGATGGTGTTCTGAAGTTGTTAGGAGTAAGTCATGGCCTATTCGGTGGTTTGTTGATTGTACTTGGAATTGTCGTAAGAATTGTCGTGGATCACTGGACGAGTATCATGCTTCTTGCTTTGTGGATTGGCGTCGTGGTGAGTGGAGTTTCATCGCTTAGAACTTAATTTTTGCTTCATAACCGTGTTTCTGTTGACATTCCGGTAGACTATTGTTGACAATTCTCTACGTCGCCATCAGTCAAAATATAACTCGAAGTCTAATTTGAAATGTTTTGATTGTTTGATTAAAATGTTAAATATTTCCCGTCGTAGTCTAATGAGCGAGCTCAAGAGAATTTAATAAGTCAAAAAACTGAGATGTCCTAAAACATGACACTGTTCAAAGTTAGGTTCAGCCAAGACTTTGAACGAATTAATTAGCTAAACTCTTTAGCTAACCAGAGCGGTAACCAGATGGATACAGAGCTTTGCAACAAAGAAAAATTTACTATCAAACATTGAATAATTAAACAAACACTTACAAAATTCGTCACCAGTCTTCTACGACGAAATCAATATCTTACATATTAATTTCATCAAGCCAACAAGACAATAACTTTCATAAGATACTTTTTAAAAATAATTTGCCTACGTTTTCTATCACTGATCCTTAATATTAACCAACATTCTCAAATGCCGGTTATAATTGCTGTGAAACTTTTTTCGGCAGCAAGAAAATTCTAGCTACCAGCGCCATGGTCTGGATGTTTTTAATTTAAGTATTGTCTAACTTTTTTTACCACATATCTCGCTTAAAACAGCCTAATCGAAGGATTAAATTAAATCGATTCTTTTGAACCAAGGGATTTCACAATTTCTGGCCTAGGAAGGGAAAGGGTTTGGTATGGTAATAAGTTTAACTTAATTTGGCTGTTTTCATTAATTCCAATATACTGAACACAGATTGCCGCTACCGGTGCTATTGCAGTTAGAGACTCAAACATGGAGAACACAGACAACTCCAGAAAGTATTATGTAAGTTTCTCTTTGATTTATTAAAGGGGCTCAACCCAAGGAACAATCTTAATATTGCACGTGTGTTCAATTCACTGTGTTCAGTCACTGAGAAATGAAAATAGTGTGTTGAGTCCTTGTGTTGATCTATCCCGGAGACTTTCTAACCATGGCGACCGTGCTCGACACCCATATATCCATGAGGCTCCCGCTGAAGGAAAACTGTTTACCACTTCTGTGCACTCTGATTACGCGTTTGNAGAGCTGATAATGCTACTTACTCCTCTTATCATAACCAGGTACCAGGCTAAAGTGTAGGGCCGCGGATATTACAAACATGTAGTTTTACAGAAGTATCTTTTATTTATCTCACATCGCGTTTCAGTAACATTGGAGCAATCCACAGTTTAGTGCCGTAGGCCTTTGTCGATAATAACTGTTCATTTCTAGTAAAATACAAGACATCGTGGAACAAACTTTATTGAAAACTGCATTCACTTGAGTAACATCATCTTGTTGGTAAATTGATCTCCAGCCAGATCGAGCGAGAATTGAAAGGTGTGCGGTGAAGGCAGAAATCACTTTTTTAACTACACTGTTGTGTTTGATTTTTTTTTTGCAGAGACCAGCCCACGATGATATGCCTTTCTCTTATGTTAACGAGACGTACGGCGAAAATCATCACCTGTAGACCTAACCTCGTTACATGAATGAGGCAGAAGGCCTGTGGTTTTACGTCAGTTTTGCTGACTATGAACTTGTGCTAAAATAATAAAAGAAGAGGTGCTAAATTTTTAACGTAGCAAGACGGTTTGCTAGTTTGAGCTTTAAAACAGTTTAAAAAGCGTGCGCTGATTTACCTGGCTTACATAGGCTAGAATTTTACCGAAATTTCCCCACTAAATAAGTTTTGAAAAGTAACTGGTTGGCGAAATTGTCGAAATTGAAGCTACGTACAGAAGTACAACAAAATGACGACATTCAACTTTACCAGACACCGGAAACAAAGATTTCAACTTGGAGCTGTTTTCATTTGAGTGTCGAAAAGTAATTGGTTTTGCATCAACTACGCTTCACGATTGGCTTAAAAAATCCTGGTAATTTCGAATTTGCACCTAGAGTATTGAATAAATTTTATAGTTTATCTCATTTCAAATTAATGTCTCTGAGGTTTTCCCTAAACTAAGTAAACTCGGTGAACTGGGCACTAATGGAAGATGGGTACCCAGGTTCCAGAGGTTTTATCTTTTCTTCTACATTTGCCTAGTTCCTAGGTCTCGATATTTCGCCTCGGTCAATTGTTGTCAGGTCACGTGCTCCAAGGTTGTTTCTCTCGAACTCATCACCGAAATCAATTGAAAGCGAAAGCCTGGGAGAAAGCTGTAATTATAAAGGAATTAGGCATTTGTCCTAACACCAACAACCTCGATGTGAATCTGTTAGTTTGTTTTGTTGTTTTTTGTTTTTTTTATACCCAAAACGCTGAAAGCGTTAAATACCACGGACTGGGGCAAGAGAAGTCATCCATAATTCTGCTCGAAAACCACCTCTCTTCTTACGAAGCTTTGCCTCAATAAATGAAAGCTTTCTTAATCTTGACATAAACACATAACGTCGCTAAAAATAGTCGCAATTAATAATAACAGACTGTCTGATCCGAGTCCGCAGTTATAACGACATACAAAACCGGATTCACGTGCCAAAGATCCTTGCATGAACATGTGCTTGGTGCCTATCGATAACCCTTGAAATGCACGTTATTTTAAACAAGAAAGGCGCATTCNATCTCATTTCAAATTAATGTCTCTGAGGTTTTCCCTAAACTAAGTAAACTCGGTGAACTGGGCACTAATGGAAGATGGGTACCCAGGTTCCAGAGGTTTTATCTTTTCTTCTACATTTGCTTAGTTCCTAGGCCTCGATATTTCGCCTCGGTCAATTGTTGTCAGGTCACGTGCTCCAAGGTTGTTTCTCTCGAACTCGTCACCGAAATCAATTGAAAGCGAAAGCCTGGGAGAAAGCTGTAATTATAAAGGAATTAGGCGTTTGTCCTAACACCAACAACCTGGATGTGAATCTGTTAGTTTGTTTTGTTGTTTTTTGTTGTTTTTTTTTTTATACCCAAAACGCTGAAAGCGTTAAATACCACAGACTGGGGCAAGTGAAGTCATCCATAATTCTGCTCAAAAACCACCTATCTTCTTACGAAGCTTTGCCTCAGTAAATGAAACCTTTCTCAATCTTGACATAAACACACATAACGTCGCTAAAAATAGATCCGAGTCCGCAGTTATAACGACATACAAAACCGGATTCACGTGCCAAAGATCCTTGTATGAACATGTGCTTGGTGCCTATCGATCACCCTTGAAATGCACGTTATTTTAAACAAGAAAGGCGCATTCTAAACCTCGATAGTTCGGCGACTAAATTTATTCAATATGCGAGTGAACACACTGAGATACGGCCGTCAGGCAATATGCACACTGGTCTCAAGCTGTGGCTGACCTCTGTGCATGTTGCCTGTCTGAAATAAACTTTGTCTTATACTTGTTTATTTATCGCTCTTTCCTTGACCACTCCTCCTATTAATTCCCTTTTCAATATGCTTGCTTGTTATCGTTTCCTTAATTCAGGGCAGGGGCAAACCAAACTTACAAAGAGGAAAGTCATTCCAATGAGGAACGAACCAGATCGAAATGTTGAAATGTAAGGGATACCCAAATCCCTAGTGATATGGGTATCCCCTCCTGGAGTGTTTTTTCGTTATCGTTTCTTTAATTCAGGGTAACCAAATCGACCGAAGATAAAAAAAAAGCAAAGCAAACTTACAAAGACGAAAGTCATTCCAATGAGGAAAG